ATCGGTACAAACTGAGCAATCATTGGAAGGACGTTATTAACCAGTTTAAGTCATAACTGTCTGTGATGTTTCCATCCTACCTGCTAATGTTAGCAGTTATTTTAGACTCTGATTTGACATTAACAGTTTCACACTAACACAGCCGCCGTTGCTCATGTCCTCTATATGGCGGCGGATCCGCGATCTTACATTGACATGCTAATCTCTTACATTGACATGCTAATCTCTTACATTGACATGCTAATCTCTTACATTGACATGCTAATCTCTTACATTGACATGCTAATCTCTTACATTGACATGCTAATCTCTCACAATACAATGGCCACCTCCGCACCCTCGTCATGGAGGCAGCTCTCCGATTTTACATTGACATGCAAATTTCTCACTTTCACATCACTAGCCCCGCCATAATTTCGATTTAAAGCTTTCGTGACTGCAGGGATTCATCGTCTTGGTTCTTTCGGAAAAGTCACGTAGAAGGGAAATAATAAAAATAAAACATAATAAGAGAATTGTATTTTATTATGTTTTATTTTTATTATTTCCCTTCTACGTGACTTTACCGAAAGAACCAAGAAGATAGCCCCGCCCACTTCGCTTATGACCCTTGGGCAACACCCATTTCAAACCTTTAAAACAGCCTGCCTCAGCAGCTCTTCCCCTCAGTGGCGGCTCCTGCAAAATCTCTCAGGGGGGGCAAATCTCTGGATGATTGATAAGGATAAGGTCCACCCATGCAATGGATAAATTAACAGCTTAAGCATGTAAAGGCAACTTCACTTCTTTAATATTAATGAAAAATAAAGTGACTCTTACAATACATCTTGTTAGTTTCTATACTCACTATTAAAACAAACCACTCAAGTTTATTTTATTAAAAATTCCACTAGGTGGCGATAAATTATATTGTTGGATGAAACGTGCTTACGTATGATGACGTAAGCACGTATGATGACGTAAGCACGTATGATGACGTAAGCACGTTAGGGCGAGCCCTCCCGGAAGCCATAGAGAATGCATTGGAGCGCCCCCGTTCGAAAAAAAACATCTTTGAATGTAAGTCTATGGGGCCACTCGGGGCGATTCTCAGCCGGAGTGAAATCGCCCCAAAAGAGGCGGTATTCCACAGAACGTGACATGACGCTGATTGGACTATATCCAGAGGCACAGTGACGGCTCGCGTGACTCTGTGGTTGAATGACATTGGTGGTGCGTCGCCCAATCGCCCTAATGAAGAAACCGCCCCTGCTTCCCCTCTTTTTTCTCCTAATGACGATTGCTTGTGTTGCGATCGAAACGTCGTGATATTTTCATGATTTTTATTCACTTTATTTTCGTTTTTATTATTTTATTGTTATTTTCTTTTTTTCTATCTACGTGACTTTACCGAAAGACCCTGAATAATATGAATTCCTGCAGTCACGAAAGTTTTAAGTCAATCTTTTTTTGTTTTCTTTTATAAAGCAGAAGCGATCTTGCTATGACAAATGAAGTTGGATGATCAGGTGGTTTCCTTTTTTTGTAGCCAAATAACTCTCGAAATGCGTGACGTCGATTCTAAATGTGGGGGAAAAAATGGAGGGCCTGGATGAAAAGTCCACGCGATCACGGGGAGAGAGAGACACGCAAACTCCAAATATACAGCAGCAGGTGTCATGTTCGGGACAGAACCCACGACCTCCTGTACACCAGGTGAGGTAGTTAACATCTAGCCACCGTGATGATGAGAGAGAGAGATGCAAACTCCAAATATACAGCAGGCGTCAGGGTCCGGATCGAACCCACGACCTCCTGTGCACCAGGCAAGGTAGTTAACATCTCCTAGCCACTGTGATCATGATGAGAGAGAGAGAAACTCAAACTCCAAATATACAGCAAGCGTCAGGGTCTGGATCGAACCCACGACCTCCTGTGTACCAAGCAAGGTAGTTAACATCTCCCAGCCACAGTGATGATGAGAGAGAGAGAGACGCAAACTCCAAATATACAGCAAGCGTCAGGGTCCGGATCGAACCCACGACCTCCTGTGCACCAGGTGAGGTGGTTAACATCTCCTAACCACCGTGATCATGATGAGAGAGAGAGAATCTCGAACTCCAAATCTCCAGCAGGTGTCAGGGTCGGGATCGAACCCACGACCTCCTGTGTACCAGGCGAGGTAGTTAACATCTCCCAGCTACCGCGGCGCCCACATCTTCCAGGCTCAGCTGTGGCTGGAGACGACGTTTTGGCGAAAATTCCGAGCGAGCAAGCGCCGTGGTAGCCCCCGAAAACCTTCACCCGGCCCAGCACTGTGAAGTTATGGTCAAAGTGGCCCCAACAAGTGGAAGACAACCTTGAAATCCGTTAAAAAGTGAACAAACAAGGGGAGCACGATCGCTTTATATATATTTATTGTTTTTTCTTAAATGCCACCTCGTCTGAAGGTTGTCGCGGTCGACGCTCACCGTTGCTCGGGCACGTTGCCCGACGTTTCGCCCACGGTACCGGCGGAGGCTCCGGGCGCGTGCGGCGAAACGTCGGGCCGCTGCGCCCGAACGATGCGCGGCTCCGCAGCCCGAAGTCACGTGGTTGGAGGGCCAAGTGGGGTTTTGTTTGTTTATTTTTGTGACAATTAACAACATTTGTAACCGGGCCCAAAGCCTGCCTTCCCCATGCGGCATTGAAGCAGGAACGTCGAACGGCTTTTTCAGGATATTATCTTTTGTAAAAACAAAAAACAATCCACCATCATCATCATAATAACCATCATCATCATAACTATGATCATTATAACCATCGTCATCATCATTATCATAACCATCATCATCATAACCATCGTCGTCGTCATCATCACAACCATCGTCGTTACCATGGTAATCATTGTCGTCATCATGGTAACCATCGTCATCATCATCGTCACCATCATCATCATAACCATCGTCGTCATTGCCGTCACGCGCATCTGCCACCGACGTCACACAGTAACGCGTGACGTCAGATCACCGCGAGTGGTGGGTGGGGGTGTGTGTGGGGGGGGTGTCTCTTGCACGTGGCTTCGTGTCGTCGTCGTCACCGGCACTGACGTCACACAGCAACGCGTGACGTCAGATCACCCCGAATGGGGGTGGGGGTGTGTGGGGGGGGGTGTCTCTTGCACGTGGCTTCGTGTCGTCGTCGTCACCGGCACTGACGTCACACAGCAACGCGTGACGTCAGATCACCCCGAATGGGGGTGGGGGTGTGTGTGGGGGGGGGGGGGTCTCTTGCACGTGGCTTCGGGTCGTCGTCGTCACCGGCACTGACGTCACACAGTAACACGTGACGTCAGATCACCCCGATCGATCCACTGATACCACACGTGACTCCACCCCCGACTCCACCCCCCCCACTACTCCACCAACAATAGGTGGAGTTTGACTTCTATATTTGGGGGGGGGGGGGGCGGGGAGCGGGTGGGGGGGGTTCGCTTGGTCCCTCCCATTAGGAATTGCGCGTGCATATAATTATTATTTACTTTTAATATTAATTGTAAACTACTGGAAATAAATTAATAAATTGGCCCGGTTTTGGCGGGACGTTGACTTGCCACATCCCCCACACCCCCTCCCCTCCCCCCCTCTCCCCCCCACCCCCTCCCTCCCCTCCACCCCCTCCCCCCCCCTCCACCCCCTCCCTCCCCTCCACCCCGGTATCCACGGCGTCTCGCGTTCGGTACAACGGCAACACACGATTTTGCAAACAAAACAAACAACAACAACAACACAACAATCCGGTGGGGGAGGGAGGGGGCGGGGGAAAGTATGAAGCTTCTGACATCGCGACGGGAAATATAAATTAAAAATTTATTTTATGTTTATTTTATTTATCAAATAATAGTTATAAAATAAATATAAAACATGTTAAATATTTATTTTATTTATAAAATAAATATTTGTAACATTTATTTTATTGATAAAATAAATATAAATATTTTATATTTATTTTAGTTATAAAATAAATATTTTGTACATTTATTTTATTGATAAAATAAATATATTCAATTTTATCTATAAAATAAATATTTTTAATATTTATTTTATTGATAAATAAATATAAAATGTGTATTATATTTATTTCATTTATAAAATGAATATTTTTTTTATATTTATTTTATTTATAAAATAAATATAAGAAATATTTTATATTTATTTTCTTGAAATATAAAAACAAATATTCATTTTATTGATAAAATAAATACAATACGTATTTATATTTATTTTATTAATAAAACAAATATAAAAGAATAATACATACGTCATCTTTACTTTATTTATGAAGCAAACATTTATTTATTTAACTTATATTTATTTTATTTACAGCGCACAGATTTCCTCCCCGTCTTCCCCCACGGCACCTCCTGCGCCAGGTACAGGGCGATGTCGCCGTCTCTCTGTGTCCACGTGTCATCTCGCTCAAGTCAACCCACGGCGGCTCCTGCTGGCTGGGTCATGCTCACGTGACCTCCCGCCCAGGCCTCCACGTGCACGTAGCCTGGCACAGGCGCCGCAGTGACGTCACCGCCACTTGGTGGCGAATTGGTCGGCAGTTTTTGCGGCTTGGGATGTGTCATCCCTCCGGGCACTTTAGAATAACCGCCCGCCATCCACCGAATGAGTAAACAGTTCTGCAGCGAAATGAATCCCCCTACAAACAACAACAACAACACGAAGCCAACATGCCGTTCCTTCGCGAGTGTCACAACCAACTCCTCCTCGTGCCCATCACAAGTCGCTGGGCCAAAGTGTCGCCTTCGGGATTCCGGGTTGGCAGAAAATGTCATTTCCACGGGGAGACTGACGCAGAGGGGGGCGGGGGGCGGGGGGAGACGACGAGACTGGAGTTGAGAGAGGGAGACAGAGAGGGCGGGGAGAGGGTGAGAGGTAGGGAGGGAGGGACGGAGGGAGAAAGAGAGGGAGGGAGGGAGGGAGGGAGGGGGGAGGGGAGGGAGGGGGGGACAGAGGGGAGGGAGAGAGGGGAGGGAGGGAGTGAAGGGAGGGAGAGAGGGGAGGGAGGGAGAGAGGGGAGAGAGAGAGGGGAGGGAGGAGGGGGAGATGGGAGGGAGGGGGGGGACAGAGGTGAGGGAGAGAGGGGAGGGCCCTCGAAGCGTGGTGGTGGTGGGGGGTGATGAATGAGTAACTATCCACACCGCTCAGCTCCATGACGGTGTCACATGACCTGGGGGGGCCCCGTTCTACCGGACCACCTCGCAGCTCAGCATTTGACAACAGAGAGGTTGGAGGTGAAGGGGGGGGGGCGCCCCCAGCTCAAAAGAACAAAAAAACCAACAACGCCGCCGCTCTCCGCCAGCAGCTCTCATCAGCGCGGACGATCACACCGGCGTGGTCCTCCTGTTGGCCAGGCTGCTGCTCAGCAGGCCCTCCGGCAGCTCTTTGTGGACGCAGTTGTGGACGTGCAGGAAGCCGGCCTCAGCCGCCAGCCGCTCGGACGAGCTGAGGTAGGACGCGGGTCCCAGGATGCCCTTGCCCACACCGTCCCTGTTGGCGAGCGCGTACATGGCCATGTCGTTGGCGGACTGCTGCTGCTGCTGCAGCTGCTGGGAATGCGACAGCGTCAACGCCACCGGCGGAGGATGGAGAGGATGGTGCGGGGGAGTCACGTAGCCCTTGAGAGCGGCGGTCCGGTCGTCGTCGTCGTCGTCGGAGCGAGCGGCCGCGGCTGCCGGGCCGTCGCCTTCGCCGCCTTCGTCGTCGCTGGAGCGCGAGCTGGAGCGGGAGCGCCTGCGGTAGCGGTAGACGTAGCTGGGCAGGCGCGCCACGGTGGACCTCTTGAGGAAGTCGGGGCGGAAGCGCGCCCGCTCCAGCCGGTGGTTGTCGATGTAGATGCGCACGGCGAGGACGCCGACCATCTCGGCGACGACGAAGGAGAGCGCGCCGAAGTAGAAGGACCAGCCGTACGAGTAGCTGTTCTTCTTGGACTGGCTCTGGTTGGGGTCGCCCACGTTGGCCGAGATGTAGACGATGATGCCGATGATGTTGCTCAGGCCTGCGGGGCGAGAGGGAGAGACGGAGAGACGTGGCGCGCTCGCTCACTCACTCACATGCTCACCCAGTCGCTCAACCACCCACTCACACAACTGTAGTGACATTGAATGAGTCACTGTAGCGCGTGGCGCTGGGGGATTGGTAGACAATGAAATTACGGGTAGCAGCCCGTTCTACCAGTTGGACCCGTGGGCCAAACCCGGACCCTTCTGGGGGATCCAAAAGGGTGCGTGGCCGAGGGCGGTGCCTGGCTACGCTGTGGAGAATAAAAGGTGAGCTCCGACTCCGAGTCGGGGCCTGCTGCTATCAGGAATGGAACTCGTCATGCTGCTGTCGTCGTGGTCTTCACCTCTTCAAGCTGAGTCTGGAAGCATGTTGGCTGTCCCGACCCTGTATGGAGTTGTCCCCTATGCCTGTGAGAGCTGGAATTAACAAGATGGATAACGTCTCCTACTAGTATCTCTGAATTAGTACACTACATTTGGTGTCAGAAGTGTTATCGAAAGAAAAAAGTTTTTGTTTTAGCGTTGTTGGGAATTTATTTTCGAAATACTTATGGGAAGAATAGGCTATGTCAAAATCTGCAAAGAGGAGGTCCTGCATCAGCATATCCTCGAGCGATGAGGGTTCCCGGGCAGCCCCAATAGCCAGGACCCCGGTGGGGGTCCCGGAGAAGCGGTCCCGGCGGGCAGCGGGCGAAGGATGATGATCCCTCGCTGCCGTCGGCTGGCGAAGGCCTGCGGGCACTCAATGCATCGTGGAGCTGCTCTACGCGGTGACGGCGCTGGTGGGGCAGCTGGGTAAGGAAGAGCCGGTGGAGGGGTCTGCGACTCGGGGGCAGCGAACAGGCGACTCCGCCGTCACTGACAACCAATGGTGGGAATCGAGTCCCGCAGAATTTAACCTGCCGCTGACAGCTCATCCGGGGGCGCCTTCCCTCGCGCAGCGGCTTCCGTTTATTAAGGAATTTTCGGCTGCGGGGGGTGATTGGGCGGCCTTCTGGCGGCGTTTCGCCGCCACTTGCGAGCTCACAGCATGGTCCGACGTGGAGGTGCTACATGTTCTTCCCACCATGCTAGATGATGCCTTCGCCGCGTTTTTTCCCATTCCCCAGGCGGACAGGGCAATGCTGCGGCAAGCATACGCACAGTTTGGGTTCTTTTAACCCCTTCAAATAGAGTGGTTCGTGGTCTCACTTTGATAGGGGCCCAGATGATAGTCAGGGGGATTAGGAGCCCTTCCTGCAAATATTAAATGGTGGGCTGGGTACCGCGGTCATACAGGCGGGTACGGTGTTGGCCCACATGACAGCGGCGTGTTGTGGAGAAACGGATGATGTAACCACTTGGGTCGTGGCCGCGGTTGAACGGGATGCGGTGTTGGATGACTCGTGGATGGATCCGTTGTGTGTGGGTAATCCGGATTTGTCGTGGGAACAGAGGGGCGAGTTGCGGGCATTGCTTCGGGAATTCTTTGATGTATTTAGTAAGGGTAAATTTGATGTGGGCTGCACGTCCCTGATGCATCACCATATCGACACGGGTGGCGCCGCTCTCATTCGTCAGAACTAATTTCGGTTTAGACCAAAGGAGAAGGACTACGTTCGTTAGGCGTTCGATGAGATGTTTGCCGCCAATATAATCTCCCCATCCACCAGTCCGTGGGGTGCTCCCATAGTCCTGGTTAAAAAGAAGGGCGGGAGTTTGCGTTTTTGCGTAGATTTTCGGAATTGAAATAAAGTCTCCGTGGCAGACACGTATCCGCTCCCACGGATGGATGATTCGTTGAATGCCCTGTCGGGGGCGTGGTTTTTCTTCACCCTGGATCTATTGTCGGGGTTTTGGCAGTTGCCCCTGGATGAATGTTCAAAACCTAAAACCACGTTCTGGACACCGCAAGGGCTGTTTCAATTTAACGTGCTTCCGATGGGGCTTCACTCGGCTCCGGCCACGTTCCAGCGACTAATGGAGTTGGTACTGTCTGGGCTCCAATGGGAGTCATGTCTGATCTATTTGAATGCCGTGATTGTCTTCGGTCGCACGTTCCGGGAACATCTGCAGCGGTTGCGTGCGGTATTTGTTAAAATGCGGGTGGCTAATTTAAAATTCAAGCCACAGAAATGTTACCTCTTGAAAAAATCGGTTCACTACCTGGGTCACGTTGTTATCGAGTCCGAGATCGCCACGGACCCTACAAAGACTGCGTGTGTGAGTGGCCGACCCCCACGTCGGTGGGTTAGGTCCGTAGTTTTGTGGGGTTTGTGTCGTATTACCACCGCTTCGTGCCCGGGTTTGCAACAATCGCAAAGCCGCTCCACGTTCTCACGGCAAAAAGCCAGAGGTTTCGGTGGGGGAAAGAGGAGGAGGCCGCATTTGTTATGCTGCGAGATGGCCTTGTTCTCCACCTGCAAAAATATGACCCCGATTTCACATTGCCTTTTGTGTTGGATACGGACACCAGTGATACCGGGATCGGCGCCATATTGTCGCAGGTGGAGAACGGATTGGAGAGCGTGGCCGAGTGCTGTCCCCTGCAGAGCAGCGCTATTGTGTCACGCGCTGCGAGTTGTTGGCTATCGTGCACTTTGTCCAGCATTGCGAATGTCGCGTGAATATTGTTGTGTTCGTCGTCCCGCTATGTGACATATAAAGGCCAGCCGGGACGGCTGTTTTTTTCATGGGGGGGGGGGGGGGGGGTGATGTAGTGACATTGAATGAGTCACTGTAGTGTGTGGCGCTGGGAGATTGGTAGACAATGGATTTAGGGGTAGCAGCCCGTTCTACCAGTTGGACCCGTAAGATCCAGAAGGGTGCGTGGCCGAGGGCCACACTGGGGAGAGTAAAAGGCGAGCTCCGACTCCCAGTCGGGGCCTGCTGCCATTGGGAATGGAACTCGTCATGCTGCTGTCGTCGTCGTCTTTGCCTCTTCGAGCTGTGGGTCTGGAAACATGTTGGCTGTCCAGACCCGGTATGGAGTTGTCCCCTATGGCTGTGAGAGCTGGAATAAACAAGATGGATAATGCCTCCTACTAGTGTCTCTGAATTAGTACACTACACACCCACACACCCATCCACTCACCCACCCACTCAACCACCCACCCACACATCCAACCACTCACCCACCCACTCACCCACCCACCCGCACACCCACCCATATGCACACCCACCCACTCACTTGTACACCCACCCACCCACTCGCACACCCAACCACTCACCCACCCACCCACAAACCCACCCACTCGCACACCCACCCACACACACACCCACCCACTCGCTTGCCCACCCACTCGCTCGCCCACCCACTCGCTCACCTACCCACTCACCCACTCACCAACCCACCCACTCATCCACCCACTCACCCACGCAACCATCCCAACGCTGATTTAAAAAAATATATATTTATCTGCAAATTACAAACTCAACTCTTTTTTCTTTTACCGTGTTAAGTCCCCGACTGAGCAACGTAGTAGCTTTTCTTTCAGAAGCAACCACGTGGCTATCACAAATGGTAGCCTCAACGAAGTCTCTAATCGTCATCATCATCACGTGGAAATTCATGGCAGTAGCCAAATAACTCCGTGATGTCGATTCTAAACGCGGGGCGATGGGGGGGGGGGGGGGGGGGGAAACCGGAGGACCCGGAGAAAAAATCCACGCGACCACGGGGAGAGAAAGAGGGATCGAACCCACGACCTTCTGTACACCAGGCGAGGCAGTTAACATCTCATCGCCACCGTGATGATGATGACGGAGAGAGACACGCAAACTCCAAATATACAGCAGCAGGCGTCAGAGTTGGGATCTAACCCACGACCTCCTGTACACCAGGCGAGGTAGGTAACATCTAATCGCCACCGTGATGATGATGATGAGAGAGACACCAAACTCCAAATATACAGCAGCGGGCATCGTGAGGGTCGGGATTGAACCCACGACCTCCTGTACACCACTAACACCAGGCGAGGTAGTTAACATCTCCTAGCCACCGCAGCAGCATCAATATCACCCCCCACCCACCACGCTCCCATCCTACTTTGAAAACCGTGGCAGCACCCTCTTGAAAAGATCGTCTCTTTTTATTTCCTCCACCCCCCCCACCCTCTGGGAGGGAAGCGACAAAGCAGAACGAGGAGAGGGTGAACCAAGCCCGCGACACGACATGTTGCGACACGATACGACACCACGTGGCACCACACGACACTACGTGACACGACACCACGTGACACCACACGACACCACGTGACACCACATGACACCACGTGACCACACGACACCACGTGACACGACACCACGTGACACGACACCACGTGACACGATACCACGTGACACCACATGACACCATGTGACCACACGACACCACGAGGCACGACACCACGTGACACGACACGACACCACGTGACACGACACCACGTGACATCACGACACCACGTGACATCACGACACCACGAGACACGACACGACACCACGTGACACGACACCACACGACACCACGTGACATCACGACACCACGTGACATCACGACACGCAACCCGTCGCGGCCACACAAACACCGACCTGCCGACACGAAAAATATTCCGGCGCTGAGGACGACGTTGTTCTTGGACTTGTAGAAGCGACTGGCGGCGATGCTGAGCCCCCCGAAGAGCAACAGGGTCACGCTGAGGATGGGGAAGACGCTGGAAGCTCGCACCACGCCTGGCACGCGGACACACGCCGACCCGAGGGGGGGTGGAGGAACAGATGGTCCCAATCATTACGTTTGTGTCTCTCTCTCGTCTGCCTCTGGCGCAGGAGAGCGTCTCATTTCCGATCGTGCATCCGTCGAGGGATTTCTTTCTTCTCATCGTACGGATTAATAGCGGCGGATTAGCAGATGTTATTTTGGATGCGGTTATCCCGACTCGATCGTCTGTTCGGAATCAGGAAGCGGATCGTCGTCCGTTCCTCGTCTAAAGCAGTGAAGGCAGTGGCAGAGTGTTTATGATGTTGGCAGTCGATGGTTTGGTTGATGATGATGACGATGATGATGATGTAGATCATAACGATGATGATTATAACGATGGTAACGATGATGATGATGATATCGATGATGATGACGATGATGATATCGATGATGATATCGATGATGATGATGACGACGATGATATTTATGATGATGATGACGATGATATTGATGATGATGATGATGACGATGATATCGATGATGATGATGATAACGACGATTATGATGACAATGATAACGATGATAACGACGATGATGATAACGACGTTGACGATAACGACGACGACGAAGACGGAGCCACTCACGTAGCAGGTACTCGGCAGAGTCGGCCTCCATCTCCGTGTCGTCTGGGAGGTGATCGATCTTCTTGCACATCCCCTTGAAGGAGCCTCCACGGAGTCGGGGGGGGGGGGCAACACACGAGCTCATGGGTTATTATTTACACAAAGACAAAGGACCCCCCCCCGTGTAGCCTCGACAGACTGTTAGGGGCAAGTGCTGTGAGCGGCTGGTAGGGGTTCACAGACAGGGGTAGGGCTGGTAGGGGTTCACAGACAGGGGTAGGGCTGGTAGGGGTTCACAGACAGGGGTAGGGGTTCACAGACAGGGGTAGGGGTTCACTGACAGGGGTAGGGGTTCACTGACAGGGGTAGGGGTTCACAGACAGGGGTAGGGGTTCACAGACAGGGGTAGGGGTTCACTGACAGGGGTAGGGGTTCACTGACAGGGGTAGGGGTTCACAGACAGGGGTAGGGGTTCACAGACAGGGGTAGGGGTTCACTGACAGGGGTAGGGGTTCACAGACAGGGGTAGGGCTGGTAGGGGTAGACAGACAGGGGTAGGGCTGGTAGGGGTTCACAAACAGGGGTAGGGGTTCACTGACAGGGGTAGGGCTGGTAGGGGTTCACAGACAGGGGTAGGTCTGGTAGGGGTTCACTGACAGGGGTAGGTCTGGTAGGGGTTCACAGACAGGGGTAGGGCTGGTAGGGGTTCACAGACAGGGGTAGGGCTGGTAGGGGTTCACTGACAGGGGTAGGGCTGGTAGGGGTTCACTGACAGGGGTAGGGCTGGTAGGGGTTCACTGACAGGGGTAGGGCTGGTAGGGGTTCACTGACAGGGGTAGGGCTGGTAGGGGTTCACAGACAGGGGTAGGGCTGGTAGGGGTTCACAGACAGGGGTAGGGCTGGTAGGGGTTCACAGACAGGGGTAGGGCTGGTAGGGGTTCACTGACAGGGGTAGGGCTGGTAGGGGTTCACAGACAGGGGTAGGGCTGGTAGGGGTTCACTGACAGGGGTAGGGCTGGTAGGGGTTCACTGACAGGGGTAGGGCTGGTAGGGGTTCACAGACAGGGGTAGGGCTGGTAGGGGTTCACAAACAGGGGTAGGGCTGGTAGGGGTTCACAGACAGGGGTAGGGCTGGTAGGGGTTCACAGACAGGGGTAGGGCTGGTAGGGGTTCACAGACAGGGGTAGGGCTGGTAGGGGTTCACAGACAGGGGTAGGGCTGGTAGGGGTTCACAGACAGGGGTAGGGCTGGTAGGGGTTCACAGACAGGGGTAGGGCTGGTAGGGGTTCACAAACAGGGGTAGGGCTGGTAGGGGTTCACTGACAGGGGTAGGGCTGGTAGGGGTAGACAGACAGGGGTAGGGCTGGTAGGGGTTCACTGACAGGGGTAGGGCTGGTAGGGGTAGACAAACAGGGGTAGGGCTGGTAGGGGTTCACAGACAGGGGTAGGGCTGGTAGGGGTTCACTGACAGGGGTAGGGCTGGTAGGGGTTCACAGACAGGGGTAGGGCTGGTAGGGGTTCACTGACAGGGGTAGGGCTGGTAGGGGTTCACAGACAGGGGTAGGGCTGGTAGGGGTTCACAGACAGGGGTAGGGCTGGTAGGGGTTCACAGACAGGGGTAGGGCTGGTAGGGGTTCACAGACAAGGGTAGGGCTGGTAGGGGTTCACAGACAGGGGTAGGGCTGGTAGGGGTTCACAGACAGGGGTAGGGCTGGTAGGGGTTCACAGACAGGGGTAGGGCTGGTAGGGGTTCACAGACAGGCGTAGGGCTGGTAGGGGTTCACAGACAGGGGTAGGGCTGGTAGGGGTTCACAGACAGGGGTAGGGCTGGTAGGGGTTCACAGACAGGGGTAGGGCTGGTAGGGGTTCACAGACAGGGGTAGGGCTGGTAGGGGTTCACAGACAAGGGTAGGGCTGGTAGGGGTTCACAGACAAGGGTAGGGCTGGTAGGGGTTCACAGACAGGGGTAGGGCTGGTAGGGGTTCACAGACAGGGGTAGGGCTGGTAGGGGTTCACAGACAGGGGTAGGGCTGGTAGGGGTTCACAGACAGGGGTAGGGCTGGTAGGGGTTCACAGACAGGGGTAGGGCTGGTAGGGGTTCACAGACAGGGGTAGGGCTGGTAGGGGTTCACAGACAGGGGTAGGGCTGGTAGGGGTTCACAGACAGGGGTAGGGCTGGTAGGGGTTCACAGACAGGGGTAGGGCTGGTAGGGGTTCACAGACAGGGGTAGGGCTGGTAGGGGTTCACAGACAGGGGTAGGGCTGGTAGGGGTTCACAGACAGGGGTAGGGCTGGTAGGGGTTCACAGACAGGGGTAGGGCTGGTAGGGGTTCACAGACAGGGGTAGGGCTGGTAGGGGTAGACAGACAGGGGTAGGGGCTGGTAGGGGTTCACAGACAGGGGTAGGGCTGGTAGGGGTAGACAGACAGGGGTAGGGCTGGTAGGGGTTCACAGACAGGGGTAGGGCTGGTAGGGGTTCACAGACAGGGGTAGGGCTGGTAGGGTTCACAGACAGGGGTAGGGCTGGTAGGGGTTCACAGACAGGGGTAGGGCTGGTAGGGGTTCACAGACAGGGGTAGGGCTGGTAGGGGTTCACAGACAGGGGTAGGGCTGGTAGGGGTTCACAGACAGGGGTAGGGCTGGTAGGGGTTCACAGACAGGGGTAGGGCTGGTAGGGGTTCACAGACAGGGTAGGGCGGGTAGGGGTTCACAGACAGGGGTAGGGCTGGTAGGGGTTCACAGACAGGGGTAGGGCTGGTAGGGGTTCACACACAGGGGTAGGGCTGGTAGGGGTTCACAGACAGGGGTAGGGCTGGTAGGGGTTCACAGACAGGGGTAGGGCTGGTAGGGGTTCACAGACAGGGGTAGGGCTGGTAGGGGTTCACAGACAGGGGTAGGGCTGGTAGGGGTTCACAGACAGGGGTAGGGCTGGTAGGGGTTCACAAACAGGGGAAGGGCTGGTAGGGGTTCACTGACAGGGGTAGGGCTGGTAGGGGTAGACAGACAGGGGTAGGGCTGGTAGGGGTTCACTGACAGGGGTAGGGCTGGTAGGGGTAGACAAACAGGGGTAGGGCTGGTAGGGGTTCACAGACAGGGGTAGGGCTGGTAGGGGTTCACTGACAGGGGTAGGGCTGGTAGGGGTTCACAGACAGGGGTAGGGCTGGTAGGGGTTCACTGACAGGGGTAGGGCTGGTAGGGGTTCACAGACAGGGGTAGGGCTGGTAGGGGTTCACAGACAGGGGTAGGGCTGGTAGGGGTTCACAGACAGGGGTAGGGCTGGTAGGGGTTCACAGACAAGGGTAGGGCTGGTAGGGGTTCACAGACAGGGGTAGGGCTGGTAGGGGTTCACAGACAGGGGTAGGGCTGGTAGGGGTTCACAGACAGGGGTAGGGCTGGTAGGGGTTCACAGACAGGGGTAGGGCTGGTAGGGGTTCACAGACAGGGGTAGGGCTGGTAGGGGTTCACAGACAGGGGTAGGGCTGGTAGGGGTTCACAGACAGGGGTAGGGCTGGTAGGGGTTCACAGACAGGGGTAGGGCTGGTAGGGGTTCACAGACAAGGGTAGGGCTGGTAGGGGTTCACAGACAAGGGGTAGGGCTGGTAGGGTTCACAGACAGGGGTAGGGCTGGTAGGGGTTCACAGACAGGGGTAGGGCTGGTAGGGGTTCACAGACGGGGTAGGGCTGGTAGGGGTTCACAGACAGGGTAGGGCTGGTAGGGGTTCACAGACAAGGGGTAGGGCTGGTAGGGGTTCACAGACAGGGGTAGGGCTGGTAGGGGTTCACAGACAGGGGTAGGGCTGGTAGGGGTTCACAGACAGGGGTAGGGCTGGTAGGGGTTCACAGACAGGGGTAGGGCTGGTAGGGGTTCACAGACAGGGGTAGGGCTGGTAGGGGTTCACAGACAGGGGTAGGGCTGGTAGGGGTTCACAGACAGGGGTAGGGCTGGTAGGGGTCGACAGACAGGGGTAGGGGCTGGTAGGGGTTCACAGACAGGGGTAGGGCTGGTAGGGGTAGACAGACAGGGGTAGGGCTGGTAGGGGTTCACAGACAGGGGTAGGGCTGGTAGGGGTAGACAGACAGGGGTAGGGCTGGTAGGGGTTCACAGACAGGGGTAGGGCTGGTAGGGGTTAGACAGACAGGGGTAGGGCTGGTAAGGGTTCACAGACAGGGGTAGGGCTGGTAGGGGTTCACAGACAGGGGTAGGGCTGGTAGGGGTTCACAGACAGGGGTAGGGCTGGTAGGGGTAGACAGACAGGGGTAGGGCTGGTAGGGGTTCACAGACAGGGGTAGGGCTGGTAGGGGTTCACAGACGGGGTAGGGCTGGTAGGGGTTCACAGACAGGGGTAGGGCTGGTAGGGGTTCACAGACAGGGGTAGGGCTGGTAGGGGTTCACAGGACAGGGGTAGGGCTGGTAGGGGTTCACAGACAGGGGTAGGGCTGGTAGGGGTTCACAGACAGGGGTAGGGCTGGTAGGGGTTCACAGACAGGGGTAGGGCTGGTAGGGGTTCACAGACAGGGGTAGGGCTGGTAGGGGTTCACAGACAGGGGTAGGGCTGGTAGGGGTTCACAGACAGGGGTAGGGCTGGTAGGGGTTCACAGACAGGGGTAGGGCTGGTAGGGGTTCACAGACAGGGGTAGGGCTGGTAGGGGTTCACAGACAGGGGTAGGGCTGGTAGGGGTTCACAGACAGGGGTAGGGCTGGTAGGGGTAGACAGACAGGGGTAGGGGCTGGTAGGGGTTCACAGACAGGGGTAGGGCTGGTAGGGGTAGACAGACAGGGGTAGGGCTGGTAGGGGTTCACAGACAGGGGTAGGGCTGGTAGGGGTAGACAGACAGGGGTAGGGCTGGTAAGGGTTCACAGACAGGGGTAGGGCTGGTAGGGGTTCACAGACAGGGGTAGGGCTGGTAGGGGTTCACAGACAGGGGTAGGGCTGGTAGGGGTAGACAGACAGGGGTAGGGCTGGTAGGGGTTCACAGACAGGGGTAGGGCTGGTAGGGGTTCACAGACAGGGGTAGGGCTGGTAGGGGTTCACCGACAGGGGTAGGTCTGGTAGGGGTTCACAGACAAGGGTAGGGCTGGTAGGGGTTCACTGACAGGGGTAGGT